GGTCCAGCGGTGCACACTGCGATCGGATCCTTGCGGTTGAGGTCCAGGGGTGCACACTGCGATCGGATCCTTGCGGTTGAGGTCCAGGCGTGCACACTGCGATCGGATCCTTGCGGTTGAGGTCCAGGCGTGCACACTGCGATCGAATCCTTGCGGTTGAGGTCCAGGGGTGCACACTGCGATTGGATCCTTCGGTTGAGGTCCAGGGGTGCACACTGCGAGGGGATCCTTGCGGTTGAGGTCCAGGGGTGCACACTGCGATCCGGAGCTGGCCAGACAAGATCGGCGAAGCAGATTGGCGAGGAAGGAAGCAAGGAGGAAGGAGGAAGGAGGAGGAAGGAGGAGGAAGGAGGAGGACGAGGAGGCGGCGGAGGCGGAGGCGGAGGCGGAGGCGGAGGCGAAGGCGGAGGCGGAGGAAGAACAGCTGTGATAAAATCTAACAACCCTCACCTGGCAGGTGGGGAACAAAAGAAAAAACGAAGCCCTTCTGTAACCATTCTCGACAATTCATGGCAGCAAGCAAACATCTCCAGACGTCCCTACCTGCTCGTCCCGGCGACGTTCCCAGACGCTGCTCGGGAGCCCCCCGGCCAGCGACGTCCGAGGCGCACTCACGCCGATGCCGGACATGATCTGCCCACTGTAGGGGCTCCAGTGTTGAACACCTCCCAACGTGACAGCTACGAACGTCACAAGACGGGCCTCGCGACCGACTTCGTCCGGAGCGATCGGATGCGAGTTCGTAGCGGGGCGCGCCGCTGGCCTTACGACGAACGTAACAAGAAGCTACTGTAGTAACAACGGTGTCACCACTGGTGTCACGGACATCCCGGGTGGACTCTTCGTTGAATAGAACTGGCCCTCATTGGGATGGTAAAGCCCTCTGCATCTGCGGGGGACGAAATGGTTGAAATATCTTGAAATAGAATCAATGAGTCTACATGTTATGGAGACCATCAGCAAATATCCAAGGAGTGGTGGTCCTTGAAACCCAATTGTCAGAAAGACCAACATGACAATATCATATGATCGAAAGCTGAGAAGAACCGGAAAAAAAAGAAAAACTTACTAAGCCACAACCACATTGGGGATGGGTCGTGACCCATCGAGCCTGGTGGTTGTCTATCATGTAGTCTTCACGAGTTTATACCAGGGTGGTCGTGCCCTTTTTCGGTCTGGTGCCATGACCCACATCTGTTGGAAGGACATGTAGCCCTCAGAAGTTCATCGATACTCTCCGAGAGTCTCGGTCTGGGCGACGGTTGTACTTCAGAATCACGTAGCGTCCGATCGCTCCGTTCGTAGCGATGCCCTTTGTGACGCTCGGAGCTTCTTGTTACTAGTAGTAAGGCCCGGAGCTACGTTCGTAGCGTCCTTGCTCCTAGCATAGTAATGCTTAATCCACAGTGAGACTACATTCTTCATCCCCAGCGCCAAGCCAGAATACATGTCCGCCAGCTGCCACGCACCACACCTGCCAGCTCCGATCGCTCTGCCTCCGCCCAAGACCCCGCCTGTGGGCGTGTCTTCGTCCAAACGTCGGGGAAACAACAGCGCCCTGTAGAGCGAAGTATAGAAGACCTCCAGGCGCCTGAGGCCGTGGACGGAGCGGCTCGCGCGGCCCAGCGTTGCCTCGAGCGGCTACGCGCGGCCGTGTAACGGCGCACGGCGCAAGCTGCTTGCGGCGTGGCGGTTTTGTCGTGTCTTTGTCATGTCTTTTGGGGGGTCGAAGTGAGGCTAGCGAAAAGGGACAGAGGCCCGGGATGTCGCCAGCGACATACTCTTTGAAAGGCAAGATTGAAATCGTGAGCCCAGTTGATAGCTGACAAGAAATCCAACAAGAATCCATATATAATTATATATAATATATAACACAATTGATATACCACCACTTTAAATATGATATGTAATCACGATGTATGACATATATATATATACTGTAATCTAAAATGTATTGTCTTCGCCTCATCTTGCAGTGCCGAACGAAAAGAAGCTGGCGCCCGAAGCATCCGGACACCCGCGCCTGAAGGTGGTCGCGGTTGCAGGCCCAGCATCAAGGACTTCCACCTCTTGGCATCTACGGTGGCATCCGTGCGGGGGTTTTGGGAGCTGGAGCAAAGCCAGAGCCATGAGAATCCATCCGTGCAGGGTTAACTCTTCCATACCATGCCATGGATGTTCTCATATTTTTTCCTATGCCATGAATGGTCATGGATTACCTTGGACCATCCATGACCATCCATGCTATCTGATTCCATGGATTCCATGGACCATCACACCTGATGGCGCCGGCGGCTTCCGTGCCCGATGATGATGATGATGATGATGATGCCACAGAAGGACCAGTACCAGCAGGTGGAATCAGCATGACAGGATCACAACACCCACTTTGAAGGAGTGATCCGTAGAGCCAACTGATCCTCCGTAGAGCCAACTATATCAGTCAAGAGGGGCGATTGCCACCCTGCTGAGGGTCTTGGGAGGGTCTTGGTATATCTTGGTGCCTGGTTTCTTGGGTGTTCCGTGATCTGTTGCAGATCCAAAGATTCCAAGTGCCACGTGGTTTGGCGGGATCCCTCTTTGGGCACAAGAAGGCAACTGGCAAAGTGTCACAGCATGATGCAGCACGCAAACTGGGATGCCATGGCGACTGAGACGACTTCCGCGTTTGGGATCATCTGTCATTTACAACCTACACCCATCATACATCAATACTGCTAGCTAATGTCACATGTCCAATCCACTCAAGGATGCTCTATTCGACTGGAAAACTCAAGGATGCCCCGGACGCTGCCCGGCTTTGAAGGATCCCCTTTTTTTCCACTTCGACCTGTCCAAGCTCAGATCTTCGACTTCACTACCCTCCCAAAAACATATCAACCAAATGAGGAATCATGTCTTTTGCATCGAGGACTCACCTCCTTCAACCTTCGCATCACCCGAATCGACCGTCGCATCACCTCCCCAGCCGGCTTACCGCTCAGCCGTCGCCTTCTGGAGCTCCTTGCGCCACAGCTCTCGGCCCTCGGTCACCAGCGCCGCGAAGGAGCGGCCCTTCACCTGCGGATTCTGCCGCACCGCAGAAGCGAAGGAACATCGGTTTAAGTTTAAAAGGAAAAGAACCATAAGCTGTTTTGAGTTACTAATAGCGATGGCCTCCAACCTAATGGCGAAAAGAAAAAGAACCATAAGCTGTTTTGAATGGCTGGTCCCTTGTGCGAGGACCATGGAATAGTTATTTAAGGGAGAGGCCATTGTTTTGAGTTACTAGCGATGGCCTCCAACCGACCTGGCGATGGCCGCCATGGGGTTTTGGAGGAGGGCACGACATCGGTTGTGGGTGGGGTGGGTTCTTGCACGACCTGGCGACGGGTGGTGAACACAAAGGTATATACAGCTCCAGTGAACCTAGAGGGAACCAGCGAGTGAAAACCACCAAAATGTGTGAGATGAGGAGAGGTCTCTCAAAGCCAACCTAAAACCTGTTATACCATAACAACCTTTAAGAAGTGTCCTTCAACACCTACATCTTCAGATCCTTCCAGAGAACAAAACCCCAAGCCTCCTACTAAGATGAAGACATCCTTCAAGCAAACCGCTCCCCATCGGTCGTCGCCTCAGCCTCCATCGCCCGCTTCGCCTGCGCGGCCGAGATGAAACCTGGGTGGCATCCGCATGGCCAAAGAAGCGCGGCCACAAGCAGGTGGCCCAAATCAGACGTTGCGACGGGGATGGGGGGGCGGAGCTGTTTCGCGATTAAAACACAAACAGATCTCTCTGTCCCAGCGTCTCGGACATGATGTGGGATTGTCGCTCTCTCGTCTCCTGAACCAAAAATGCTAAGGCCCTGCATGAGCGGCCATTTAAATGTCAGGCCGTTGCTTTTTCTGAAGATCTGGTGAGCTTAGGAAGATCACCCAAAAACCTGCGGATGTCCTGTTCGTGTCTTGGTGTTGGCCACCCGAATCCACAGATGAGCCATCAGGCTGGAGATGAACTGAGATGAACCTGGTGTCTCTCTCTCCCTCTCTCTCATTGGTCACTCAGTCTGTGTGCCACAAATAGGAGCTTTCAGCATGTTTCACCTATTGGATGCTATTTCCCAGATGGGGGGGATGTCCTAGGGTTGCGAATCACTTTCTTCACTCACGTGCCATTGGAGTCCATGGTGTTCTCACTGTGCTCCCACTCAGATGGCTGTGGTGGCATTGACAAGACTCGAGATCCTGTGTGTGTATGTGCGTTTCCATGCTAATAGAACGCCACAATCCCAGGTCGCACACTGGTGCTGAAATGTTGCACAATTAATGCAGAGTGTCAAACAGAACATATTCATACATATCATGCATAACTGTGCACAACAAAAGAAGACCTCATCTATTCACAGCGTGCCGTGGGCTCTTTAGCATGCCAAGGCTCTAGTGCCAATCTGGATCTCCAGCTCCTGAAGACTTCGAAACGGCTTCGACGCAGCATCGATTCCATGCCAGCTACGTGCTCGGCAACTTCCCCGCAGCACCTCGCTGGAGGGTCTTGCTGGCCGCGAAAAGCTGCTGCTTCTCTTGTTTCGTCGGCTTGGGAAGGGAATTGGTTCGTGCGGGCTGAAGGGCTGTTTCGTCCTCCGTCCTCCTCTGCCTCCCCATGTCTCACGCCGGCCTGTTGGGAGGCCACAAAGCAGCAGTGCCGCATGGTCGTCTCCTGAGGCACGGAGAAGTGAAGTTAGTGCGAACCAAATGGCTAGAACCCATTGGATGGTTGGGGCCGGTCTCCTTATTCGGTCTATAGCCACCTAGGCCTAGAAGGGACAAGTGACAAGAAATCCAAAGAACGACCATGAGCTTGCACTGGGGCTCTAGGAACATGGGTAGAATCAAACAAAATCTCTTGAAAAGCGCAGTTGTGACATGTTTATACTTCTATATTAGCTTATATATACCCTTTTGCATTGTGCAATAATAAATGTTAACGGGCATGAGCCCATGGCAACTCAGCACAGGTTCGGCCTCTCAGTGGCCTTCCCACGGCCTCTCAGTTGCATTCCTGGCCTCTCATCTGGGGAAGGGCTTTAAAATGCACTCCATGAAATCAGCCCACTCCAGCAAGGTTGCCCTCTCAAGCAAACACCTCATGTCTCATGTTCTTCAGGGCCTCTCCAGGACCTGCAGGGTGCCAGGCTCGACAGTTCTCTCAAAGAGGCGATCCTCTACAATCATTAGAAGTCCCAAAGGCTGGGCCGACGTTTGCATCCCATCCGGGTCGAAGGCAAAGAGGACTTGGTGGAAAATCGTGATTGAGCGCCGCATATGGGAACAATCTATGAGATAATATAAAATGGCTGTGGGTCGATAGCAGGATATCTTGTTTGACCTACCTGGAAGGTCAACCTACATGGTGGACCAGGGCTGCAGATATTGACCCTTCCCCATTTCTATATGGGATGCAAGAACATTTTGGTGGTCAGCATCGCATGCTTGCACACTATACAGCCCCAGTTCTTTGTTGACACCCTCGTGGGTGTACAAGAGGATCCTCCAAGGTTCTGGATTCTTGATCCTAAGAGTGGTACCAAATTAGATAGTTCAGCTCGTCCCAGCTCGCTCAGCGGCTAAAGCCGCGACTCGCTCGCTCGAGAGACTCTCGTCCCGTGTTCCATCGGCGGTCCTGGCATGCGGGAGGCCCAGCTTGCAGTCCACCCTGTTTCTTCTTCTTGGCCTTGTCATCCTCAGTGAGAACAAATAAGTGTGTAGCTCACATAAGGAGACCTCCCAGACAGTTGGACCCCCTGGAAGAAGGAAAATAGAATAGACAAAAACCCGGTGAACCCATTGGTTGGGCGTCTCCCTATTGAAATGCACACCCAAATCAAAGCCGGGTGAGTTATAACTCGTGCAAACCGAACTTGAACAAGAGAACGTTGGCTTTCTGATGACCCTCGCAGGTCATGACGGGATCCTGATCGCGGAAGACTCCGAAGAAGTATTCAACCACCCAATGTGGTGCCTGATGGATCATCAAATACTGGATCTCCCCAAAATATGTATCCTCCAATTCTCCAAAAACATGGCCATCTGGCCAGGGCTCTCCAATATTATTCCTCCTCCACTGCTTTCCAAGGAGCTTGTAGGTGACACCCACCGTCGCTCCACCAGGTGAAGTGCGCACACTTGGCCGTTTGTTTGCAGCGCTGTTGGCACTGGTCAATATTCTCCAGGGCGATGCGCTCTTGCCCTCGCCGTGCCGAAAGGCCCCCGTTTTTTTGCCGTTTGGCGTTTTTTGTGCAACGCGTTGGGCAACGCGTGTTGATGTGGTTGGATGGGTATTGGTTGACTCCAAGGAGCTGCACGGAAGTAGGGGTAAGTTTTTGGAACCTTGCAACTTGTTGGGTCAACGGGGGGGG